TTTTGAGTGATTATTTTTTGGTTCCTTTTGCTTAAGATACAAGCTGACTTGGAAGAACAATCTAACATTCTAATTGAACACACCTGAAAATCAGGTGACTAGGTATATAAGTGTATATAGCAGGTATGTCATTTTGGTTTTGCACTTTCTTAGTGTGAAACACGTTAACCTCTTCCCTCCCGTGTCCGTACATTAATGTTGCTCATATGGATTTTCAATAAAGGCTTGTTTCAGATCTAATGTTGGGAATGCAGCTATCCAGAATTCTTTGTTTGGATCACTGCAACCTAGCAGTTCTGGATGTACAACTTACTAAAGGGGCATAAAGAAATGACTGGCATGGCTTCACTTGCTATTCTAAAATAAGAAACAATCCCCTTATTTGTGGAATTCATGACAAAATAGAACATGTAAATACCTTCTGTTTTGTCCTCCTTATCATAACCTGTCATGTTTTACCTTCTTGTTGGTCCATAAGCCCTACTTTACAAAAGCTTTTGTTTCCATGCTCTGGAGTAATGATGGCTAATAAACCTGCATCAGCTGTATGCTGTGTGGAATAATTGACTCTACAACAATATGCTATATATGTTCTTTTTCGTGTTATCAAGATCACCCTGGTGTCACTGCTGAATTTTAGGCCATATCTCTGTAAATGGAGAACCACTGCTTTGCAGCAGTTTGCCCAGGAGCAAAAAATAATGATTTTTGCATAATTTCTTGTTGATCACCAAGCCCTGCTTTCACAAAAGCCATTGTTTCTATGCTCTGCACTGATAATGGTTAACAAGCCTGTTTATAATAACTGTGTCTATAATTTTGGGCTGTATCTGCAATATTAATTCCAGCAAGACTACCTTGCCACCTCCTCTGATATTTTAGATGCATCTCAAACTGGTGATTTTGCATGTATAATCTGGACTATAAAGGAATGATTTGCATTTCTTTATCCATCAAAAATAAGAGGAATTATCCCTTCTTTTATGGGAAATGTAAAAAAATGTCTGCTTATCACCAATTGCTGCATGACCCCACCCTTTCCTCCACTTGAGCATAGCTCCATATACACTAGGTATACGAAACTATCTCGGGTGTCATGCATATAATTTACACCCTACTTGACTGAAACCGAATAATACGGCCCAGATATTGCTGGGACTGACCTATATCTTGGACTACTACACATGCCAACCTATATTGACATACCGGACCTCTGACTGTTACTCTGATTCTTATGAACAATTGGACCCGGAGCAGTTGCAGCCAAACCCCCTTTCCTTCCTCCCCCCCCTTTTTTTCTCGCTCTCTCTATCCTACACTTTTACCATTACCTTCTCACTTCTTTGAGTTTTGGTGAACTTGATTACCAGAAGACCCACAGGTACAACTACAGTTCTTCAGATTACACCCCCAGGGGTGGACATCCAACTACCCGCTGCTATCACCATCCTTTCACCGTGTATTGCTTTGCATTCTGTAGTTTGAGGGACTATATGAGGATTGGCTGATTCATGTACCCAATTGTTACGTTCACATCATTCTTCATGTCTGTTTTTTTTTGGATTATGTGTTTTGTTTATTCTTGTTTTCAGCATTGTTATGTGATGAAACTATATATGCTTCATATGTATATCCCAACAGGGGATACTGGCATCTTTTCATGATCCGAATGTAACCTGTATATGTTATCATTGTGCCTCTTTTCTCTGCTTTTCAAGAATTGGCATAAGTATTGTTTTAAAATAGTAGGGTTGGATGATTTATATGTGAAAATGTGAAGTGTTGGTATGTGAGCTCTGTGGTGTGGGATTGTGGTGCATTTTTCTGTGTGAGGCCAACTTTGTTTAAAACCCAGCTGAAACTACAGTGCAGCTGTCCTGTCACTACTCTTCTTATAACTCTATACTCTGTACACCACTCTTACTTTTCATTCACTACTGGTGGTACTGGGTCATGCCAGGTCTGCTCTCATCAGCAGCGGCTTTACTTAATCTTAATCTATCAACCAACAGCACAACCTTTCACTCAGTCTGTCAACATATATATGTGAAACCTGGTCCTGATCTGGCCCCTCATGAAGCTGGAATTAATGAGGGAGGCCCTGCTATAATGGAGGGATGCATCACAGAGTCCGTTCTGGCTGAGGGGGAAAATAGAGGTGAGCACACGGAGGAGGAGATGTAGCAAGGCCCAAGCTTCCTCAAGCATGAGATGGAGGATACCAAGTCCCTTGCCCTGACTGAGGACATTGGGGTTTTTTATAGTGATCCCACTTCACCTGAGTCAGACCTGGCTATTGACTCTAAATCTTCATCTACAGTCAGGTCCATAAATATTGGGACATCAACACAATTCTAACATTTTTGGCTCTATACACCACCACAATGGATTTGAAATGAAACAAACAAGATGTGCTTTAACTGTAGACTGTCAGCTTTAATTTGAGGGTATTTACATCTAAATCAGGTGAACGGTGTAGGAATTACAACAGTTTGCATATGTGTCTCCCACTTGTTAAGGGACCAAAACTAATGGGACAATTGGCTTCTCAACTGTTCCATGGCCAGGTGTGTGTTATTCCCTCATTTTCCCAATTACAATGAGCAGATAAAAGGTCCAGAGTTCACTTCAAGTGTGCTATTTGCATTTGGAATCTGTTGCTGTCAACTCTCAAGATGAGATCCAAAGAGCTGTCACTATCAGTAAAGCCATCATTAGGCTGAAAAAAACAAAACAAACCCATCAGAGAGATAGCAAAAACATTAGGCATGGCCAAAACAACTGTTTGGAACATTCTTAAAAAGAAGCAACGCACCGGTGAGCTCAGCAACACCAAAAGACCCGGAAGACCACGGAAAAAAACTGTGGTGGATGACCGAAGAATTCTTTCCCTAGTGAAGAAAACACCCTTCACAACAGTTGGCCAGATTAAGAACATTCTCCAGGACGTAGGTGTATGTGTGTCAAAGTCAACAATCAAGAGAAGACTTCGCCAGAGTGAATACAGAGGGTTCACCACAAGATGTAAACCATTGGTGAGCCTCAAAAACAGGAAGGCCAGATTAGAGTTTGCCAAACGACATCTAAAAAAGCCTTCACAGTTCTGGAACAACATCCTATGGACAGATGAGACCAAGATCAACTTGTACCAGAGTAATGGGAAGAGAAGAGTATGGAGAAGGAAAGGAACTGCTCATGATCCTAAGCATACCACCTCATCAGTGAAGCATGGTGGTGGTAGTGTCATGGCGTGGGCATGTATGGCTTCCAATGGAACTGGTTCTCTTGTATTTATTGATGATGTGACTACTGACAAAAGCAGTAGGATGAATTCTGAAGTGTTTCGGGCAATATTATCTGCTCATATTCAGCCAAATGCCTCAGAACTCATTGGACGCCGCTTCACAGTGCAGATGGACAATGACCCAAAGCATACTGCAAAAGCAACCAAAGAGTTTTTTAAGGGAAAGAAGTGGAATGTTATGCAATGGCCAAGTCAATCACCTGACCTGAATCCGACTGAGCATGCATTTCACTTGCTGAAGAAAAAACTGAAGGGAGAATGCCCCAAGAACAAGCAGGATTTGAAGATAGTTGCAGTAGAGGCCTGGCAGAGCATCACCAGGGATGAAACCCAGTGTCTGGTGATGTCTATGCGTTTCAGACTTCAGGCTGTAATTGACTGAAAAGGATTTGCAACCAAGTATTAAAAAGTGAAAGTTTGATTTATGATTATCATTCTGTCCCATTACTTGTGGTCCCTTAACAAGTGGGAGGCACATATGCAAACTGTTGTAATTCCTACACTGTTCACCTGATTTAGATGTAAATACCATCAAATTAAAGCTGACAGTCTGCAATTAAAGCACATCTTATTCGTTTGATTTCAAATCCATTGTGGTGGTGTATAGAGCCAAAAATTTTAGAATTGTGTCAATGTCCCAATATTTATGGACCTGACTGTACATCGTTTGCCACTTCCGGTCAAGTCGCTAGTCTACAGACTGTGATGGGGTACACTAAGCCTACACCCAAGAGCATGCAGAAAAAAGGGAATGACGGAAGTTCAAGGCAGAAGGTGTGAGGGTGGAAAAGATGTCTCTAGAAGTTTGGGGACAAGGTTGAGAGGAAAGTTAGCCAAAATATGACATCTCTGTGCTCTTCCTCATATTTTTTTAATTGCTGCTGAGGGTTTCCTCTATAAATGTGAGAAATATTGGCTCCTCACCCAGGAAGGCAGCAATCTATAATTGCCTGGTTAGCCATAAGTGTAACATTTACTGCTAGAGGAGCCCATTTCTCCCAAGTAGTCCTTTGGGGATTCTGTGTGGTCCCTGAATAAAACATCAAAAATAGTGGGGTATGGGTTCTGTTTAAAAATAAACAGATTAAGGTTAAAAAGAAGGCGAACATTGAGGAGGGGGAGGTTGGGACTTTTTGAAAAAATTGGTTTATTTTTGGGAAGGAGAGAACCAACAAATATTGTGGATGATTTTAATTGTATATTATATGAGGGGGATAGGTGTGGTGGAAAGGGAGATATACCGTATTTTTCGCACCATAAGACGCACTTTTTTTTTCCCCCCCAAAAAGGGGGGAAAATGTCAGTGCGTCTTATGGAGCGAATATAAAGCGGCCGGTCCGGTATTTTTGCGGCCACCATGTCAGAATACCGGGCCGGCCGCTCAGCTGTTGTCTCCTGCAGGGCCTTACCTGTTCCTCGCTCCAGCGCTTCACAGTCTTCCCGCGCTGGCTTCTGTGACAGCCGGGTGCCCACTGCGCATGTGCTGCGCTTTGTGAATGATCCGGTGTCTTCTGGGACACATGAAGGGTCCCAGAAGGCGCCGGGCCATTCACAAAGCAAAGCGCTTCTCGCACCTGCGCAGTGGGCACCCGGCTGTCACAGAAGCCGGCCCGGGAAGAAGAGGAAAGGCAACTCCGCGGAAGTGGGAGCGGGTACCTGTCAAATTCAGGTAACCGCTCCCCCTCCCTTCCCAAAGGTCAGCAGTCTCTGGTCATCCCCTGCACTGTCTGCAGTCTCTGGTCATTCCCTGCACTGTCTGCAGTCTCTGGTCATCCCTGCACTGTCCGCAGTCTCTGGTCATTCCCTGCACTGTGTCCGCAGTCTCTGGTCATTCCCTGCACTGTCTGCAGTCTCTGGTCATCCCTGTACTGTCCGCAGTCTCTGGTCATTCCCTGCACTGTGTCCGCAGTCTCTGGTCATTCCCTGCACTGTGTCCGCAGTCTCTGGTCATTCCCTGCACTGTGTCCGCAGTCTCTGGTCATTCCCTGCACTGTGTCCGCAGTCTCTGGTCATTCCCTGCACTGTGTCCGCAGTCTCTGGTCATTCCCTGCACTGTCTGCAGTCTCTGGTCATTCCCTGCACTGTCCGCAGTCTCTGGTCATTCCCTGTACTGTGTCCGCAGTCTCTGGTCATCTCCTGAACTGTGTCCGCAGTCTCTAGTCATCCCCTGTACTGTGTCCGCAGTCTCTGGTCATCTCCTGCACTGTGTCCGCAGTCTCTGGTCATTCCCTGTACTGTGTCCGCAGTCTCTGGTCATCTGCACTATGTCTGCAGTCTCTGGTCATCTCCTGTACTATGTCCGCAGTCTCTGGTCATCTCCTATACTGTGTCTGCAGTCTCTGGTCATCTCCTGTACTGTGTCCGCAGTCTCTGGTCATCTCCTGCACTGTGTCCGCAGTCTCTGGTCATCTCCTGCACTGTTTCTGCAGTCTCTGGTCATCTCCTGTACTGTGTCCGCAGTCTCTGGTCATCTCCTGTACTGTGTCCGCAGTCTCTGGTCATCTCCTGTACTGTTTCCGCAGTCTCTGGTCATCTCCTGTACTGTGTCCGCAGTCTCTGGTCATCTCCTGTACTGTGTCCGCAGTCTCTGGTCATCTCCTGCACTGTTTCTGCAGTCTCTGGTCATCTCCTGTACTGTGTCCGCAGTCTCTGGTCATCTCCTGTACTGTTTCTGCAGTCTCTGGTCATCTCCTGTACTATGTCTGCAGTCTCTGGTCATCTCCTGTACTGTGTCCGCAGTCTCTGGTCATCTCCTGCACTGTTTCTGCAGTCTCTGGTCATCTCCTGTACTGTGTCTGCAGTCTCTGGTCATCTCCTGTACTGTGTCCGCAGTCTCTGGTCATCTCCTGTACTGTTTCTGCAGTCTCTGGTCATCTCCTGTACTGTGTCCGCAGTCTCTGGTCATCTCCTGTACTGTGTCCGCAGTCTCTGGTCATCTCATGTACTGTGTCCGCAGTCTCTGGTCATCCCCTGTACTGTGTCTGCAGTCCATTGGTTCAGAATATTTTTTTTTTTCTTGTTTTTCACCTCTAAAACCTAGGTGCGTCTTATGGTCAGGTGCGTCTTATGGAGCGAAAAATACGGTAAGTCTTTTTCAAATGGGGAATGGGGTAATATGGGGTAATATGGGTGGTGTACATAATGGGGATAGGTGGGGGGGGGAGTTCTGGTGAAGGTGTAAGAGGGGGTGATGGTGGCGGGATGACAAAACTGTTAAAAGAATTGAGATATGATAAATACTTTTGGTTTTGGGGATGTGGGGAAGGTGGTGGTTTCACTTATTTTAGTGATCGTGAAACCGTATGTTCACAGATCAATTTTTGTTTTTTATCCAGGAACTGGGAGGTTGAATCCTTTGACATTTAGCGAGAGCTTTTCACGGACCATTGCAGGATTGAATGTGTTTTAAGTATAAATACAAAAAATATAAGTGTAGCGCTCTCTAACAAAACAGTGACTAGAATGCCCAGTAGGGAATAATAATGTAATAATGTGGAAAAAACAACCAAGAAAATGTGATCCAATAATGGATAAATAACACAAGTGAATAGCCACAATATTAAGTATTGATATGTATTGAAAACACACCTGTGATCCCAGCATTGGGAAATAAATCCTGCACAAAAAGTGACAAACAAGTGCTCCGTGTCCAAACACTTAAATCAAATAACAAAAATATAAATAAATATAAACCCCTAAAATATAATTGATCAAATAATATGCAAAATGGTGAAAAAAATTTACAAATATATATATATAAATAAATCTCCTGAAAAAATATATGAATCCAATCTGACAATACGTGACACCAGTGTCCACAAAAATATATAGAGAACATGCAGGTGATTCTTGTGCGGTGTAGCCTCTGGTGATGTATCCACACACAGCTAGATTGGCTCCTCACCTCCTTACCATGACCCTAAAAGGGCCTACACGCCTTTGGGATCACTCCTGGATCCTCCCAGATCAAATCATATCCTCCAGGCAATTTCAGAGGAGAAGAAACAGCATATGCCTTCCAGACCAGCTCGATATTCCCCTTTAAATGGCTCTAATCAATAAGACCAGCTCCCACAGGATCCATAAAGAGAAAGAACTCCCATAGCATGATATCATTTATTATGCAATAAAATGAGATATAACCAAAGCACTCACATTATTACGCATCTTGTACATAGCCTTAGAACCTCATGTGATAGGTGTACTTGCATGGGTTCTTTTGAGAGTCCAAAGATGGCGTTTACGCCAGAGTGATGTCACCTACGCGTTGCGTCACTGTCACGTGACTTCATCAGCTAAGTCATGAATGAAATCACTCATGATGAAGTCAAGTGACGGTGACGCAACGTGTAGGCGACATCATTTCCGGCGCCGACACCATCTTTGGACTCTCAAAAGAACCCATGCAAGTAAATAATAAGTTGAATGGTGGAAAATTAGTGTTTTGATGGGTAAATATGTGAGTGTGTGTGTACAGGTAAGCAAGAAAGTGAATTTGGCTGGGTGCATGTTAAGGCTTCTCCATCAAGATCAATAACACAACCATCAGTCCCTCCCCTCATGCCAGGATGCTAGGTGTATTCCTAGACTCCCATCTGTCCTTTCAGCTCCAAATCACTGTCCAAATCTTGTAGACGTCACCTCAGCAACATCTCCAAGATACGCCCGTTCCTAACCTCGGAAACTACTAAGCAACGAATGCAGGCCATAGACGGGTCGTTTATCGGCCAAATTTTTGTCCGAACGAAAAATTGGCTGATATTCACACCGTTAGTGGGGCAATGCCATCGGCCATTTTTTGCGGATCTTCTAGTTTCTGTTTATCGGTCATGCTGGAAAATCCACAAAAAAATGTCCGTTTTTCGTAAGCATTGGTGGCAGCATCCATGGCAGCAACAACCGATTTTTCGTTTATCAGCCGATGAACAGCCCATCTATGGCCAGCCTTATTCACTCCCTTGTTATCTCTCGCCTTGACTATTGTAACTCCCTCATTGGCCTACCTCTTCTGAAGCTATCCCCTCTTCAGTCTATCATGAATGCTGCTGCCAGACTCTTCCACCTTACTAACCGTTCCGTATCTGCCACCCCTCTCTGCCAATCCCTCCACTGGCTTCCCATTGCCCAACGGATAAAATTCAAAACATTAACATATAAAGCCATTTATAACTCTGCCCCAAATTACATCACCAATCTTGTCTCCAAATAACACCCAAACCGTACTCTCCGCTCCTCGCACGACCTCCTGCTCTCTAGTCTCCTCCTCCCATGCTAGTCTCCAGGACTTCTCAAGGGCTTCCCCCATCCTCTGGAACTCTCTACCCTAATATATCAGACTATTGCCTACTTTGCTCAATTTTAGGCGATCTCTGAAAACCTATCTCTACAGGGAAGCCTATCCTGCCCTCAGCTAATAATGGAATCTTCTACTCCTCCTACCAGTCCATCCCCCACAGTTACTAACTTTTGTACCACTAGCTCCTCCCTCTTAGATTGCAAGCTCCAAGGAGCAGGGCCCTCCTAACCCTCTTGTATTGAACTGTATTGTTGCTGCATTTTCTCCTGTTATATTGTAAAGCGCTGAGCAAACTGTTGGCATTATATAAATCCTGTATAATAATAATAAGGCTTGCGAGTGGTAGTGTTTTAACCACTTCCAGACCGGACACTTTTACCCCCTTCCTGACCAGGGCAATTTTCAGCTTTTAGCGCTATCACACTTTGAATGACAATTGCGCGGTCATGCAACACTGTACCCAAATGAATTTTTTACCATTTTTTTGAGATAGATAAAGCTTTATTTTGGTGGTATTTATTCACCACTGGGATTTGTATTTTTTTTTGCTATGTAAATGAAATGTCCAAAAAATTTGAAAAAAAGTGTTTTTTTTTATAAAATTTTGCAAATAAATAATATTTCATCATAAATCTTAGCCAAATTTATTATTCCGTTATCTTTTTAGTAAAAAAAAAAAATCCAAATTAGTTTATAAGCAAAAATTATAATTTTTAAACATTTTTTTTTTTACATTCTTATTTTATTTTTTTATATTATTATTTTTTTTTTTTATTTTTTTTTTTTTACATACTGTCACCCTAGCAGTACAGTGTCACCATGGTGTGGGGTGATGAAGATTTTTTTTTTTTTTTTTTTTACACTGATTGCTTTTACACCCATATAGGATATAAAAGCAATCATTTCTCTTTCTCTCTGTGTGCATTCTTGCACTCATTGAAAAGAACTGAGTGAGCTGTGATTGGTCATAGCTTGTCACATGGTACAAGGCTTTTGTGAATAGCCTTGTACCATGTGACCTCTGTGATCATTCACAGATTTCACACATAGTAAGCAATGATGTCAGAAGTGACATCTTGCTTACTACTTTGCATGTGATCACTGATTGGCCAATCAGTGATCACATGATCGGGACCTCGTACAGAGGTCCCGTCCGACGATCAGTGTTTCACTGTGTCCGGAGGACACAGCGGGCACCAGATCGCGGTGCTGCGCGCTCCCAGGGAGCGCGCACAAGCAGGGTGCGGGGAGGCCGTTTATAGACGGCCACCCGACCCTGCAGTGCCACCGTCCGGCCGTTTATATACAACGGCCGGTCGGGAAGTGGTTAAGAAAATATGGTTTGTTTTTAAATGATTTGAGAAAACCTGTATGCTTTAATTCACCATGGTTTTATATAAAAATAGAAAGGTGCATGAGGAAGTATGGATTGCAGGCTATATCAAGGAAATATGGTTTGAGAATAAGAGAGTAATGGATCTGTTGGATAGGAGGGAAGAGATGGAAGGGATTGGTGGGGTTTCAGTTGGAAAGTGTGAGAAAGTATGGTTGAATGTGAGCTGTAAGGAACTGGATAATTGACAGAAAGATATTGCATAGATGTGTGTTCATGGTTGTCTGCCTACAAGAGAGTTTCAGAGGGGGTTTGTTATAGTGAGGTGTGTACAAGGGAGGAGTGTTGGAAAGTGGAAGGGGTGGTGCATGTGTTTAGGGAGTGTGATTTTG